TTTTGAAGGATTTGCAGCTCAAACTTTTCAATTGTGCCTTTACCGTATAATAATTCAGGTTTTCGGCATGCATGTTTTTTTTTTCCTGCCTGATATTTTGAGGTTTCAATTATTTGTTCTTGTTAGCTTTTTTGGTATTTTATTGGAAATGGAATTTAAATTTCATGAATTGGGTTGATTTATTTCTTGATATTAGATATGGATTGTGGAATTGCAGACAAGGGGTTCAATAATTTGCTGGAGGGTGTTTGTTTCTAAGTTTCTTCATTCAGCTGCATTGTGGGGTGCTGTGGTTTGGACTCTGGATTGATGTAGGATACAGAGATCACGTAGAGCTCTTCTCCAAAGAAGGGCTTTGACGGAGGCTATTAGTGGAAGAAATCGCCTGTACAAGGTTTCACTATCTTTGGTTTTTGCAAGTGTTGATTTATCAAAACTCATTACTACGCTGTCCAGAAGGGAAAAAATGAATCATCTAACAAAATTTCCATATATTTGTGAGAATTGCCACCATTTTGAACTCTTGTTTTCATCAAAATTATTAGGAATTTAAACTTGCTTCCCTACTACTTTGCATATGTTGTTAAGGTTAATTCGGCAGGAACTATTGGGTTTTCTCATTCTTTATTTTCAACCTCTTGTTAAAAGATTTAGACTCTTCCCACATCAAAATTTTGAGTTTTGAAATAACTACCTCTATGACTAAAGCCCAAATCTAGTAACCTACATTTATTCCAAGCTCTAGGGTAAGATATCAAGAAAACTAATACCATCCTAATATTGATGATAAAAGAAACAGCACATAGCACATTACAAAATCAAAAGTAAACCCTTACATTGGGGAAACATACTACACAAACTCCAAAAGATTAGGTTTCCAAATAATTGGTAGAAGAGTAAGTTTTGAGGTCAAAATATCAATAGAATCAAACCAATGGTTGAGCAAAAGAATGATAGAAAAGTAATAACAAGGGCCATCAATCTTGCCATTTTTGAGACAAGTACATGTGCTCGAAATCTAGTTTTCTCATATAGGTTACTCTCTTAAGTGCCTTGGGAGGATCTTTTTACTATCATGCCAACAAGGAAATCAATTTCAAGATACATAACTGACGAATTTGGAAGTTAAGGATATAAGCAAGATCTAACATCTTGGCATAATCAATTGATAACCAATAGATGAGTATGACACACACCAACATGACAAGGATTTAAGGATGAGTACAACAAAACTTGGAACCCTATCAAAAATGATTAAATATCACATAGATGTATGGGATCATTAACAAATGGATGCAAGTACACCTTATAAGTTCTGCCACAAAAGAAGGTTAACCAATAAGCAAGATCATGTTTAACAAGGCAACTAGAATCAAGAGACAAATTTTAGCAATTAACAAGAGTTAAGAACTAAACCCATTAAAAGACATGTGCAAGAATTTCAAAAATAGCCATTAGAACAAAATTAGGGGCAATTATGAATGCTTGGACGAATACTGGAATAGAAGAACGCAAGGCTAAATGCTTAAAAAATTCAACTACAAAATGATATTAGCCAAGAATCAAGATCAAGTTTAACCAAGCAATCAAAATCAAGAGGTAAGAATTAACCATGAGACAAGTAATAGGATTCAAAATTTAGGCCCACAAAAGAGATTTCAATAATGACAACTAGAATAAGGATTCAGGAGCAAATATAACTAGGACATCAAGATCTAGTATCTTATGTAACTAGAATTAATTAACAAAACAAAGCAATGGTTGGGATCAAGATACCTAGAAGATTAATGTCTTTTAATTAAAGAGCAGAACAAGAATCAAAGCAACCAAATATAGGAACCATTTCTACCGAAATAGAACTCTAGGGCATTAGGTATTTCAAAGACTACCCCTTTCACATGGTAGCCCAACGAGTCTAAGTAGATTTATAATCAAGTCATTCCTAGAGTCAAGTTAAAACCAAGATATTAAGAATATAGAGATTAGCACTTGCAATAGACAAGAATTAGGATGCTTCTATAGATATTTTCTAGTAACCATCACCCCTTCTAAAGAGGTGTCCATAAGAAACTTAAAAATCAAGAAGATTAACAAGTATATTTGTATACAAAAACAGAAACTAGCATAGTATTCAGGATTTGAGAAGAGTAGTATTCAAAATTTGAGCAAGAGTAAGTGTCAAAACAAGAATAGTTTTCAAGGATAGTTCACAATAGGTTCCAAAAACCAAGTATTAGTCAATTTTCAAGAATACAATGCTAACATGAATTAATTTCAAGCAAGTTTCGAGAACCGATTCTAAGCACAATGCAAGTAACAGTTTTAGATAAGTCTCAAGATAATGAGGATTTCAACAGTCATAATCCATATTTGGATTTTAGTTTCAAGAACAAGTACCAAGCAAATCTCAAGGAAGGGTTCAAGACAAATTTCAAGAGTCTCACAAGCAATTCTAGGTATCAAGAGTTCCATCAATATTTTTTATTCAAGTAACAAGTCTAAACAAGTACAGTCTATCACAAAAGACCAAGTTTCAAAACAAGGTCTTAAGAGCATAGTGAGCAAGATTAATTTTATGAATCTACATAGTGTATAAAGGCAAATAACAAGAACAGCTAGATTACCATCTCATCAAAATGGATCAGAAAAAAATTCATGAAATAAGAATAAGAATTGTCCCTTGTATAACCCCATCACTCGTTTCACCACATATCATTATTTTAATTAGCCATAGGCATTTTGTAAAACCTAGGCTTTGATACCACAAAATCTATCACGCCCCAAAACTGGGAGTAGAACAGACGCCGTACACTTGTGAGAGGACCGTACACTTATGAGAGGACCGTACACTTATGAGAGGACCGTACACTTATGAGAGGACCATACACTTATGAGAGGACCGTACACTTGTGAGAGGACCGTACACTTGTGAGAGGACCGTACACTTGTGAGAGGACCGTACACTTGTGAGAGGACCGTACACTTGTGAAAGGACCGTACACTTGTGAGAGGATCCCACAAATGCACAAGGCTCAAAACTTACTTAATTCATCAGATATAGTAGTCCACTAACTAAGATCCAAATCTCGAAATAAAATCTAGCTTTCAAAAGAAAGATTTAAATCCCAAATCTATATCTAAAAATAGTTCATCAAGCAAACCTAATTACAATATAATCTAAGTGCAAATATATGAGGCTAGCTTTCTAGCTCGTCATTCCCCTTGGTTTTCTCGCGTCTTTGGTTTTAGGACTTGAAATGGTGGACAAGGAAAAACTACATGAGATAACTTAGTAAGTAAAAACATGGATAGCCCTTAATTAAAGTTATAGGATACCAACAAGTGTAATCAAGTATCAAGAAAAACAGGTATAAGTACAGGAATGAAATAGACGTCTCCTCTATAGGTCATGGCTAGTGTTTATAAACCTCCCACTGGTGAGCATAGTAATAACCGGTGTATTATCCCACTAGTAGGAATACAAGACAAACCAATTTCTAGAAATACATATTGACATGTGCTAGCATTTATACACCTCCCACTAGCAGACACAGTAAAACATGACCACATTGGAGACTAAACCAGGCAGGAGTTATAGGAAAAATCCATAATTTTACAAACCAATTTTAGGTTATCAGAACAGTTTAGTAAACTCCAAGTAGGCATGCTCAAATTAATGAATGATAACAACTTCATCTTAAACAAATCATGCTCAGTTTTGTGTAAAACGAGTTTAGTCCCGCAACCACTTCAAAAAAACAATTTAAAATATACTTTTAAAACCTTTACCTTAAAATCCAAGGGGCATTTACCATAATTTTACTTACCTTGCTTTGTAGGTACACAACAAGCTAGAATTTCAAGGACTCAAGGCGATTGAAGTGATTTAGAACCTATACCACATTAAATGAATACTTAAAAGGCACTACATATGGTGGATTTACCAAGCAGGTTTGCTGAACAAAACAAACTAGAAAAAAAAAGTGTGACAAACTGAGCTCAAAATTGTCCTAGACACAATGTAGAAATTCTAGGCAGCAAGGTGAGGGTTTCTACCATTTAAAACATGTCCCAAAATGTTTAGAATAAGCCTTGAATAGCAGGCATTTCTAGGCAAAAGACAGCAGCAAAAACAGGGTAGAACATAAGTTAGAATTGGGCAAAAATGGACAGCATTTAAGTAGAAAAGCAACAGCAAAAAGGACAGCTAAAATAAAATAATAACAAGGGTTTAAAAGCAGGAAAACAACAACTAGAAATTTAGTAAAATCATGATGTAATATGGTAGTAGGTATAGTGGGAATAAAGTAAAAAATAGAGCAAATTGCTGGGTACTTTGAGAATAATTAGATTTCAAACTGGAATTTTCAATAGAATTCATATCTAGAAATTGACCAATTTGAGTTGAGTGGTCAATAGGTAAATTGTAGCCCTATATCTTAGCGTCCTATAGCTTTAAGAATCACCTTAATCTGACATCTACAAAGAAAGTTATGGTCAAAATATTAACTTAGGGTCGAACTACCAGTTAAGTTTGTCAATGGGAATCAAACTTTTAGTGACGTTTTCACCATGAAAACAGCTTAGTTGGGCTAAACATTTAACATAAAAGTTGTAGGGCTATCTCTTAGCTTTCTATAGAATTAAAATGGACTTAATCCAATAACTACAAAAGGAGTTATGGGCAAAATACTACAGCAAGGTCATAATGTCAACATTTTTCTAGCATAAAGAGATCAAATTCTGGTGGTGCTTGATTATGGGGAAAATCAAGGAGAAAACTATAGAAAGACTCCCAAAATTGAAAACCCTAAATGATTAGAGCTAACCACTTCAAATTAAAGATAAAAAAATGAGAAACGTGGCTGATTTCTTATTAGAAAAGTTGCAAGAAGAACACCTATCAAGCAATCCATCACTGACAAGTAAGAAGGAACAACTAGCAAAAATTCTTGATTCAAAGAAGAAGAAAAAGCATTGTAGGGGGAATAAGAGGTTGAAGGCTTTAAGGGTTTTGGATTTAGAATGGAAAAAGGAGAGGAAAAACCAAAAAGAGAAGAGGGAAAACCAAAAAGAGAAGAGGGAAGCTCGAAAAGAGAAGGGAGAAAATAAAAGGGTATTTGGTTTTCCTTTCCCTTTTATGCTGTCCGTCTAACCCTTTTCTTTTCTTTTTTTTGCTAACATCCCCAAAGATTGAAAAGTTAGACAACTTGGTCCCTTATTAAAATCCCTTTTTAGATTAGTCCTCTCATATATAAATTAATTAATTATTCAACGTAAGCACTCAAAATTTTGGGGTATTACACGTCTCTTCTGAGTTATTGGCTTCTTCAAGGGGTTGATGTTTAGCTTGTGTACTATGATTGAAGTTGGAATTCTAGTCATGTCGGTCGAGATCCACGCAAACACATCCTTATTCGCCTTGAGGAAGCATATGAGTTCTTCCCTCTCCTTTGAGCTTAGTTTTGTTCAAATTTGCATATTCTTAGCGAGTCACTATCATCAATCTGCACCTCTTCCACCTTTTTTACTAGGGTGGCTCTAGTTTTGTCGTCAGGTCAATTGTTCGGCAATTCCACACCCATTACTTGCTGGTTGCCTGGGGCCCCTGACTGAGTTGGTTATGGTGATTGAGTTGCCTCCTTATCTTTCCAAGGTTGAGTAACAAAGGTCATATAATAATGCTTAGCTATTTCTTGGTTGCCCCTCAGAGTTGCCACTCCCACGAGCATAGGAAACTTCATGCATAGGTGGGACTACGAGACAACAACCCAAATTTTAGTTAGAGTAGGCCTCTTGATGACAATGTTGAAAGACAAAACCATCTTTACCACCAAGAACCGAACTGAAGGGGTGACATATGTCCGCCCTAAACCAAAGGCCACATTAAGCCTTAGAACCCCTTCCATAAGGATCAGTTGATTGTTGAACCCATAGATATGACCATTATACTTTTGTAGGAGAGCAGGGTTGAGGCTGAGGCTCTCAAAACAGTGATAATACATGATGTTGGGAGTACTTCCAGTGTCAACAAGGACGCACTGAACTTCACGGTTATTGATGATGACCGAAGTGACCAATGGGTCATTCTGTGGTGTGACATCACCATCAAGGTTGGTTTGAGTGAACGTTATGGGTTGGCTTTTCCATTCTGCATCATTGAACTTCCTCTTTTGAGCTAAGTTCTGGTGTTTGACTTCCCTCACATATAGCTTCTATTGTTTGGAGCTCATCCTCCCTACTTCAACCCCCCCATTAATCATGTGAATGATTCTTGCTGGCGTAGGAGTGGAGGTGGAGCTTCTTGGTAACCCACTACAATCATGTTACTCGCATCTCGAGGGCTTTGGGACTGTTGCCCATTTTCTCGTACAAACTTGAGCTGATCCTTACTTGAGATGTACTCATTTAGCATCCCTTTATGAGCTAAGCCTTCAAGCTCGAACTTCAAACTATTGCATTCTTCCATGGTGTGGCCGTGGTCTTGGTCGAAGTCACAATACCTACTATGATCTTTGGAAGCAAGCGTACTTCGCATGGGTGGTGGCCTTTTAAAGTCCATTTTGTTTTTTATTTGCGTTAGAATCTATGACCTTGGCAGGGTAAATGGAGTCCATGTGACCTACTTCATTGGGGTTTGTGAAGAACTCAAGTTAGGCTTGTTGACTTTGGCGGTTTGACGTGGACCTTAGTTCTGTATAGTCCTAAATTTCTTCCTGTTCTGCCTTTCTTCCTTCCACATTAGACTTCCGCTTTCTTTACTTAGCGCAAGCTTACGGGAGAGGGCATACTCTTCAACTATGATAAATTTACGGGAACTTTTATTGACCTTATCGAAGGTGACAGCTGGGTGCTTAATCATATTGTCTCAAAACTATTCATGGTTGAGACCTTGTATCATTGCAGCTATTCCCACTGCTTGATCAAGTGAGTTGATCTTTAGCATGGCATCATTGAACATGTTCATGTAGTTTTTTAAGGATTCACCTTCTCTTTGCATTACCCGCATGAGCTTAGGTGTTGTTTTTTTATCAACCTTCGACTAGAGAACTTCGTGGCGAAGGTAGTTGCCAACTCAACGTATGAAAAAATTGAGTTCAACCGTAAACTGTAGTACCAAGTTTAAGAATTGTTACACAATGTAGAGGGAAAGATCTTGTACATCAAAGCATTTGAGGCATTCTAAGCTTGCATAGCAGAGTAGAATGCATGCAAGTGATCATCAAGATCCTTGGTCCCATCATATGTCTCGAACTGGGGCATTTTGAATCTAGACGGGTATGGTTCTTGGACAATGTTGATGTTAAAAGGAGTATGGATTGAGGTTGAGCTAGGCTGAGCCGGAGGTGGTGCATTTTGGTTCTCGACCATCATCTTTTCTAGGTTGTCAAGCCTTTTGGAGACATCCAAGGTAATTGTTTAAGGGGGGTTTGGAGGTGGAGGTGCCATGCGGGATTAGCCTTGAGACTTACTTTGGGATGGAGCTACATTCTGAACTTGGGAGTTAGCATTCTATTAAGGCTGGTTATTGGCTTGCTAGTTGGCTGGATTTAGTAGGTTGATAAGGAGATCATTGGGGTTGTCCCTAGCCAAAAGTTGTGCAAGTACGAGCTGGACTACACTGAACTACTGCTGCATGGTATTGAGCTGGGTAGCTATGGCATCATTTGGGACCACAACTGAGTATTGTGGGTTATTCCCTCCTACTCCTTCCCCCTAATGTTGAGCAGTGATTTTTGTCAAAATTTGGGGCATAGGGTTAACACTAGGGGGTTGACTTTTTCCCCTTCCCGATAGGGGACTTCCATGCTGGGTTGAACGAGTATGTACAATCTTGCAGCGATTAGTAGCAAGGCTTTCAGCTCAGTTTCCCATAGACGACACCAAATGTAGCTGCAAAGAACTCCAAATCCTTCTTCAACTTAGATATGCTCTTATGTTAACCTACAAAGCCCAAAGGTTGATCCTCGGGATAGACACTCTGACGTCTAAGTCAGCAATAATCAGGTTTGCTAGAAAGAAAGCAAAAGAAGGCTTGAGATCGGTTTTCAATTACCTTTGAGGGAAGACCCTTGAGGGGTATTTATAGCCTTCAGAAGGTTGTCCATGTGTTGTTCCTTGTGGATAACCGAGATCATATATGTCAACCATCACATAAATTTCTCATATAAAGATTGTGCACGTACAAATCTATTGTAGATCGAGGATAAAAGGGATGAGCTCGAGCTCATGCAAGTTCGTCATGCTTCCAATGGCTCCAAGGTCTTTCATGTAGAACAAAATGACTTGGATCATCTGAGGTGCATGACCTTGGAGCACTAACTCATCCGAGGTGAATGATTACCACTACAAGAGGCAAAAGGACCACGTGAAAAGGGAAGAAGAAATCTAAGGGGTTTTGGGCATGAAAGAGAAGACCATGAGAGAAGGAGAAGATGATCGTCGGCAATCCATGAGGAATGGCTGCTAGCTGAAAATTTGAGAAGAGAGAGAGAGAAAGCGAGGGTTGTTTGAAAGAAGAAGAGGATTCAAGTTTTTTTTATCTTTATATTTATATATATTTTTTGATTGTTTGTTTTTGAAACAGTGAGTTTTGGGTTTTGGGTTTTGGGTTTTGGGATTGGGCCTGAATGGGTAGTGGGCTCAATATTGGGTATCTGCTAGATTTATGATTTTAACTTGATGAATTTCACCCTTAAACTTTTAATTTCTTCAATTGAGTCCTTTCTTTCAACTTCGTTTTCCAATCCTCTTCACAAAGTCCCTTTTTTGCTCACGAACCTAACAATGAAAGCAAAAAACAAAACATATTAGTTAAAATAAAGATAAAAACTAAAAATAAAAATTTATTAAAAATTTGAGTTTGACAACTATTATTTAATTACACATGTCCTTCCTCTACTAATAAAAAATGTATCAATGTCATCCTTTCATCCAATTTAAGGTAAGGGACTGTTTGTTAACTGTTAACCCGCAAATGGGGTAGACGTCTAATCCTTTTTTCATTTTTTTTTCTAGCTGTTCTTTAGTAGGCCTTACTTGTGCCACATTAGAGAAACTCTCTATACCTAAACAACTCATCATTCTTGAAAATCTGGCCATCCCTAACCTTCACCTAGGACCTTGCCTCCACAATTGCTACCACAAACGCCACCACCCCCATATGAACCAGAAGCTCTGTAGCAAGCCATCCTAGCATCATTACAATGACTACAATATTGAGGTGTTGCACATTAGAAAGCAACCCAATGCCTTCCAATCTTGATGGCTAGTGAGATTCCCCCTCTCATTAGCATCCACTCCCCCAGCATAAACTTGCAAAACACCAAGGTTGATGGTTATAGGCAATAATTCATCACTAGCTTTCTCATCTCACCAGCAACCCCCATCTGCTTTAGGGCCTCCATTGAGGGATGAGAACATCTGCCCCAGCCAAGATAGCAACCTGAGAAACCAAAAAGCACTACAAAGAAAACATAGTAAAAGGAATTAAAACCACCGATGGTGGCCAAGCAAAACTTGAGAAAACTTGAAGGTGATCATTAAAGACCCCTATATATGCTCTTGGTTCTTGTCTAAAGAATTCATGAGGTCCCTTGACCCATGTCAACTCTTTCTATTTGCTTTTGCATTTACCTTTTCTTTTGTAAGATTTTCAATGAAATAAAATTTCAAGAGTCACCTAAACATAATAGGTAAAATGAACTGTAGTTTTAATCATGTTGTACGATGACTCTATTGTTAAATCTCCTCCTGGATGTGGAAAAACATCTCTATTAAAGGCTTTCTTCGAAAATTTGGACCCATCTCTTAAAGTGATACTTCTCCTCTCTGTAATCCTCTCATGATGTGAAGTTGAATCTGTAACTTGAAAATGAAACGAGAAGGTTTGTAATAATTTATTTCATATGAGTTGATATTTTCCGTTGTGGGTTTCAATGCCTTTCTTCTAAACTGATTTGTTGTGATCTTTTTACTCATAAAGGCTTATACTTGGAATTTACATGTCAAAAGAATATTTTTAAAAAAGAGCATAATAAAATTTTTCAAAAGCTAATTGAGGTTCATGGACAGTAAATGTAATAGATAGATGTTATTTACATTTTAAAATTTAATACATTTTCCTATCAGATGGTACTTGAGATGCTTGCCCTACTTCATCTTTGCTAATCTCTGTCTAGATTTTTTTTTAATAATTTTCATAGATCAATGAGGAAGTCTCTTATAATGGCTACAAACTAGAATAGTTTGCTCCCCAGGAAACTTCGGCTTATATAATCCAATATGATCTTCACATTGCTGAGATGACAGTGAGGGAAACCCTCAATTTTTCAGCTTGTTGTCAGGGTGTTGGAAGCCGAGTTGGTACTCCAAACTAAAATAATTGTAGTTTTTTCGATTTCTTTAAATTAGAGATATTTAATTTAAAAATAATATTTGTATTTATTTATATTATTTTTTAAAAAATAAATAAATTAATTAAAAAAATTTTGATTAAAGTGAATAAATAATGATATGATTAAATTAAAAAAATATCTATCTACTTTAAAAGGTAAAAAATAATTAATCTAGAATAAAGTTAAAGTAAAAACATAATAATTATTTTTTTATAGAGAAAATAAAATTTTTTGATATCTTTTTAAATCAGAGTGTAATATTGGAATTGTATCAATGCATGAAAGTAATATTGCCACGTAAGAGATAATAATTGAGGTCTGGTCAACAGGAGGAAGAAGGAAGCTAGAATTTTTCCAGATCCAGAAATTGATACAAACTTGAAGGTAGCTTTAGTATAGTTTGTTATCTTTCCCATGTGGCATGGGTGGGGTCATCAAAGCATGGCTAATGGTGAGAAGAAGACTTAAGAGATCTGATATGGCATGGGTGGGGTCCACCAAAGAGTAGTTGGACAGAAAAATAATTAAAAAAATCAGATGTCTAACCCATTTACAAGTTAACAATCAACAAACAATCTCTTACCCTTAAATTGGACGGAGGGATAACATTGATACATTTTTGTATCAGTAGAGGGAGGAGATGTGCAGTTAAATAATAATAGAAGGAGCACATAAGATAAATTGATAGTAAAAGATTTAAATTGAACCTTTTTTAAGAGTAAAGGGATGATAGTTTGCATTAACCCTCAAAATTCTAAATCTTTTTCATGAATGATGAGACTCTTCATATTTCTTCTATTTTTTAAATGAATGGGATTTTTCAGTCACCAATGACTTAAAAATTTTGTTGACAAAAATGTGTTTTATAGTATTGTGCTTTTTTCATGTAATATAATATTAAAGTAATTGAAATTATTAAAATTAACCTTAATAAAATTGTGGTCTATATTTATTTATTAATGATATTTTAATAATTTTAACAGTGAGATTGCACAAAAAAATATAGTTCATACTAAAAAAACACCTTTCTCTTTTGTTAATTATTCATAGTTGGAATTTTCTAGAAGTATAATTATTATACATTTTTATTATTAATTTGTATGGGAAAAATAAAACCTAAGTTAAATTTTACCAACCATAAAATTAAATTGCTCCACGTAGTATTGATATTGAAAATAAA